TGTTCGTGTGTTCTGATCGCGTTGTTCGTTCCGGTTGCATTGTTCGTGTGTTCTGATCGCGTTGTTCGTTCCGGTTGCGTTGTTCGTGTGTTCTGATCGCGTTGTTCGTTGTCGTCTGCTTTGCAGGAGGACGTGTCACCGTGTGCCGGCGTCGCGCTCCAGCCTCCGTCGCTGCTGCTGCTGCTGCTGCTGCTGCTGCCACTCACGGTGTGTGCCACGATGGGGGCGGGCTCCACGCACGACATATCATCACACTAATGAAACTAGTCTGTAGGAAAGAACGAGATGTGTAGTCTCTAGGGAAGAGTGGTGTGGGCACGAGTGTGTGCGTGCATGCCTATGCATGTGAGATGATATATGAGGAATAATAAGAAAGAGAGAGAGAGAGAGAGAGTGAAAGAGAGAGTGAATGAGAGAGTGAGTAAATGGGCGAGTGCGAGAGGGAGAGAGACAAAGAGAGAGAGAAAGAGAAAGAGAAAGAGAGAGAGAGAGGGAGAGAGAGAGAGAGAGAGAGAGAGAGAGGGAGAGAGAAAGGACGAATCGGAAGCGCAACAGTGAAACAGCGATCCTGGACCCTGGTTGTGAGCCCCCTACGCTCCTTGATGTTTAATCAAGTTGAGCTGCTCAAGCAAATGGGTGTCAGCGGCAGTAATACTGCCTCTGAATGAAATTAACCAGGACACCAAAAGAGGCAAGCAAAGCTGTAGCTAGCTCTAGTAACTATAGCCCGCGTACAGTTACCTGCGGCGGAGCGGAGGGCTATAGTACTAGAGCAAAGCTGTAGCAACCATAGAAAATGCTAATTATTATACAGGGATATATAATGCATATACATACTTATATACTTATATGATACATATATAATATAATACAATTTAGTATATTTCTATAATATATCCAATTTCCCATACAGCAATGGATTTTTTTCTACATATCTTACAACGTAATTCGTTGGTTTTGCAGGTATTTTAGCAGGAAATTTCTCTGTGAATAACTAAATAACTTTAAATGCCAACAACTGTTCATTTATTTGTTAGTTACAATCACAATTGTGTTGCAGAACAATTAATCAAGTCGCCACAGTATATGAAGACCTGCTATATCGTTTGGGAGAAGCAGCCTGGCAGAACAACTCGCATTCATCCGAAAACTTGATCATCTCTATGTATCATGGCAAGACTAGTCCTCTCCAAGAACAATATGTCCTGCAAAATTTAACCAAAAAGGAATCAGCCATCCGCCTCATCATCTGCACCATAGCCTTCGGCATGGGGATTTGCAGGTGGCAGACATCAAGCGCATCGTTCACTTTGGGCCTAGCAAAACGCCACTTCACTACTGGCAAGAGGTGGGGCGAGCAGGACGCGACGGGCTGCCATCTTCGGCGACACTGCTCATCGGACCGCGATCGCTCAACAAGCGCATCGTAAGCAGTGAGATGCTGCAAGTCTGCGGGGCGGACTGCAAATGATAAAAGATGTGCTAGAGCCACTCTTTTGGATAGACACCTCACTGGATTCGTACATTGTCCCAGCAAAATGAATAACCAGGATCTGCAGAAAATTAGAATGTTAGCTACCACAAGAATTGCGTTTTACTGAACGATGAAATATGGTAACAATTTCAGTACATATTGCTACATATTTCAGTACAATTTCAGTACATATATATACTTACTGTGTCACTGCGAGACATCTAAGGTTAGCGGTTCCCTCCGTGCGACATTTACATCATCCTCGTCCTCATCAGATGTAAAGCGAAGTGGTTGCACATCCACATCATCGGTTGACGATTGATGCCCCACCTTCCATGTGAAGGTGATGTTAGCAACACCCGAAGTCAATTATGAAATAAGAAACCATTAGGTCGCAAGAAATGCAATAGATATATACCCCACATGTTCTCGAGAACAACAGATTACCTAATGTATAAAGAGACAAGTCATCAACTCACCTCGATGTCTCTTTTCCAGTTGCACGGTTCTGCATCAAATTCGCTTCCAACCCGGTCCACACATGCTCGTGTTGCTTTAGCACTTTGCGACATTCCAAGTTCACGCAAACACGAGAAACCCTATAAAAATTATTTAGTAAACAATTTTTAGCATAGACAACCATAAGCTCTGTAGTACTCTATAAAGAAGTTTCCCACTCATATTTTTAACACTGAAAGATTAGCCCACCTTTTGCCTGCAGCCACTCCTCCACAGCTCGACCCCAACCCATGACTGCAGCAGTTTGTAGGTTCTAGGTTGCCTATTGGCCAGCATCACCGCAATCGACGCCCCAATCCTCTGTTTAGTCGGGGGAACACGGGTTATCTTTCTTTTGCTGAGCTTTCTAGTTTCAAGCATGCCACAGAAAATTCTGTGTATAAATGGCATGCCAGCTTTTATTTCCTGTAAGGTGGTTGTCCAGTCAAAATCCATGATGCTGGACACGCTCAAATTTTGCCTCAGTTTACATGGCTTCGTACGAAATTGTCTGGCTTCCTTGTACACCTGCTTCCTGACAAATTCCTGCAAGGCTGTGTGGAAGGCCTGGCTGGATTTCCATAGGAGTGTCAACATCTGAGCATAGTTGGACTTGCTCAACATCTTGCCAGCCATTGCTTTGTAATTTTTCAACTGAAATAAGGTTTTTAATGGTGTTACATGATTTTTGCAGTAAAACCATATCATTTATTGAAACAAAATCATATTTAGGATGCCATTGAACTTGTTATTTTACCTTTTTTGAAGTTGTTGTTCCCTTTGTTGTTCTGTTGTACAATTGCCGCTTTTTGGGAGTGAAGCCACAGCGTACGTGAGGAATAACGTCCAGGGAGTGCGCAACTCCAGGTGCATGTGAAAGATTAGTATAAAATATTTTTAGAAAAATGTGGTGTTTTCAGTGGAGACGCAGTATCTTAACATGAATAAATTATTTAAAATTTTTGAAAATAAACTATACTGTCATTAATGATATATCTGAATTTATTTCTACCAGCAATTTTCAGAATTTTGCAAGTATTGGTAAATGTAGGTATGCTTATTTGTGACGTTGCCACAAATATAACAATAGCAAAGAGCACAGCGTTCTTATTTCTTTTACTTTAATATAGAACCAGATATGTATCCATAAGTAATATCAGTAATATTTATATATTTATTAACAAGTGCCGCAGTGCGACAGGGCTCATCTGGTGTCTGGTGTTCTGCTGATAAATTCATTTGTGCATAGCAAGACGTCTTATACATAAGTCTGCAGCGTGTTGACGCGCACGACCGTGTGCGCGGGCGGCGTCGCCAGCACCCCGATCAGGGCGGCGAGCCGGTCCCGCCGCTCGGGGGCGCCCTCTACGTCCCAGTCCTTCCTGAGAGCATCCTCGACTTCCTCGCTGAAGATTCCCATCGCGCTGTGTGATTTGCAGGAAGTCGGGGATGATTCCCTCACCTTTTTGTCCCCGACACTCGCAGGCCGAGGGTTCAATTTTCCGGGAAGATTCCCCTCTTTAATTCACCTCTTTTTCTCCGGGATTATCGCTGACAGTCGGATTTGATTGTCTGCTATGAGAACTTCATGCCTTTTCGCTTGAGGTCGGTCTTAGCTTCTTCGATTTGCTGGAAGCGGAAAGGCGGGACGATGTGAGATAAGTCGTGTGCCAAGGGTCAAATCTAGCTTAATACCCCAGTCGGTAATGATTGGGGAAGGATGAGTTAGTTAGTGAGACATGATTAGGTTAGGACTGTAGTAAACGTTAAGGATAAGGTTAGGTTTAGGATTAGGGTAGCATTAGGGCTAATGCAAGGTTAGGGTTAGGTTTACGCATGCTGGTAGCCGAGGCCAGGTTGATGGTAAGGTTAACGCATGCGCGCACTGGGCAAGGATTAGGTTAGTGCTAGGGTTATGGCAGGATTACGGTGTAGAGGAGGCATGTACTCTCTTTACAGGACTGAGATCCTATGGTTAGAATTAGGATTAAGGAAAATCATGATGATGACAAAGTAAGTACGGAGATACTAAAATCAACCTGAGCAGTGATCTGGTGTCTCTATCAATATGTCACTAAATAAATCACATTCATTCGTTGCAATTACCAAGTGAAAACTCCACTGTCCACACCATCATGACAGACACCCATGTATAAGATCAAGCGCTAATTATACCTTAGGTACCTTAGGTATTATTAGCTCTTGATAAGATGTACATGGCACAGACATGTATATATATGTATATTATGTGTCAGATCCATGTTGCTGACACATCTCTAGTGAAATGTGTGAACCACGTCTTGCCCGGTTACGCTCATTTACACGGGATGTGTGAGGGAGATTAAGAGCGTAAGTGAGACGTTCTTCCAAGACGATACAGACCTGTTTGAGTTCGTCCGCCGCGTCCTCGCAGTCATTGAAGGTCGCCACTCTAAAGCCGATTATAGCGAGGGAGATGCACTGTAAAAGGTCACAAAGGTTGTGTGACATCACTCACACAGAACGGCGACAACTACGTGTATGCTAACGTTACGAGAACGGTGACTTGTAAGTGGTAAGGGAAATTAAGTGCGACACAGCGACATATTTTTTGGTATGGATTACCGAACGTAGATCTATCTTGTAGATGAACTTACCCCGAAAACAATGATCATATACACTGGAAGCTGAAACAATAAAAAAGACATTGGTTGAACATGCACCATATGTGAAGTACAACAAGTATCGAATATTACACGTGCTCCCGGTGATACTGATAGTGATGAATGAAAAATAAATAATGTATTAAATAGATGTAAAATTAGAAATGCTAGAAAATGTGCGCTCACTCACCGCCCACACGATTTGTCTGAAGGCACGTGGCAGATGAAATAGATTTGTCACCATGCTTGCCCAGATGCTAACCAGCAACGACAAACCTAGCAGCCATTGCTTGAGTTTCGTCATCGTGCGAATGGGCGCTCACTCACTTCATGCAGTAGTAACACTGTCTCACTCACTGCACTGGCATGGAATTTGAAAGTATCATTTAGTATGTATGCACTGCTGTCAATGACTAGTTCAGTAGTTCAACATTCGGCGCCACCATCTGTTAGTGTTAGTAGTACTAGTACTAGTAGACTCCTACAGTACGTAGGCTAGAAGTATTACTAATACTATTACTATTAGTATTAGTATTAGTATTACTATTAGAAGTTATTAGTCAAAAAGTAGTAGTAGAAGTAGTAGAAGTTATTAGTCACAAAGAATAATGCCTCTAATGTAGCTCTTATAGTCTCTAGTACTATAGTCGACGCTAATCCACTTTAGGCACCTTAGGTATTACGAAGTGATCATCAACTGATGCACAGACTTTCCGTATATCAAGGAAAGATGCACAAATGTTTACGTGCACTAATTTCGTCGTTTGACCACATAGCCACATGCGCCACCTATCGGACAGAATTACTACTATTATACCACTAAAAATTATGTTGTGTATTTTTATTTATATTATATGATTTATTATTAATTACAC